TAATAACAGAGCAGTGTGTGTGTGTGTGTGTGTGTGTGTGTGTGTGTGTGTGTGTGTGTCTACCTCTTTTGGGGTTTTACTCCTTATTTAAGACCAATATTTACCCAGCAGCCCCAGGGTGAGATTACCTCATATTCTCCCGCCCAGCTGTGCTTTCTCAGCGTTTCCACGACAACCGGCGGAATGTCCCATCATGTTTATCTGTCTGCCAGGGAAACTGCAAGGAGGAAGAAGCGGCGAAGCGAGATGGAGAAGATACACTTAAGTTAGGAGTGTGTGTACGAGACAGACACACACTCTTGTTAGTATGCAGTGATACATTCAGGAATGCAAAAGGAACTTCTGTTTGTTTGTGTGTGTGTGTGTGTGTGTGTGTGTGTGGTGTGTGTGGTGTGTGTGTGTGTGTGTGTGTGTGTGTGTGTGTGTGTGTGTGTGGTGTGATCAGGAAGTTGATCAAGACTTCTGATATTTAATTAGAATATGTGGCATGACTTTATTTAATTTTTAACCATTTATAAACAGTGTACAATCACATAATTAATGGTTTATAACACACTACAGTGTCATAAGCACATATAATGACATTCAGTGGGATTATTATTATATTATCTTATTACCCATTTATAATTTGTTAATGTACTAATGGGCTGGATGCTTCATATAAGTCATGTGAGTGGCTATGAGCCAATTGTTTATATCCAAATACTCTAAATAACTGTAGAATAGGCAGATTCAATTTTACTACAATCTAACATAATAACAAAAAGCCAATCAATAACTTCAATATGACCATTCAGTAGCCTCACAGTCCATTAGAAAGATGTATTCAGAGACTAATCGATCACAGCACATCAGCAAACCCCTGTGAGTCTCCAGGGAGGCTGCTGGGATCAAATGTGACCTCTGACCTCCCAGAGAGGAGAAACCAAATGAAGATTCCTCTGGGATCAGTCACTCACTGTATCTAAAGTTTAGATCCAGAGAAGCTGAAAGTTAGAATTTTTTATTTGGTACAATAGGTCATCATGAGTAGGCTTTAAAAACCGCCGGCGCTGCTGAATTCAGCAACTTTTACAACAGAACACTCTCCTCCTTTAACCACAAATGTTGAGTTGCCCTCAAGTAAACTGCTTAACCCAAAAGGACAAGCAAAACTCACAAGATAAAAATATTCTGTTCAGGACAGTTCCTGTGTCTGAAACATAAACTTTCCTGCTGCCTATTCAGTGATTAAGTAAATCAGTGTTTGTGTTCCCAGTCAGAGTGCCTGATTTGAGTGTAATAGAATAACTCTATTGGGTTATGTAAACAAAGGAAATTCTGTTTGGCAGGTCACATCTCTCTACACAACCTCAGCTGTAACTGAAATATTTCAAATAATGTTTCCATGAGGAATACCCACACTGCAGACATCTGCTAGTGTTTTTGGACAAACTAGATCTGCACGTGTTTCTATGTTGTTCAGTCGTGACCAATCATAGCTGAGATGAACACAGGGTATTATTTTCACCGAAATATGACCTCTTACATCAGAGTATGTGAAAAGAGTGAAACATGAACCTCAATGAATTATTATATGTTTCACCAAACAGGGTGCTTCAAAGAACATAAACAGAAAATGGTTCTTTAGTAGTTTTTCAAAATAATAAGAATAATGGTTATATATGCATTCGTATTCATTATTAGTTCATCATTATGGTTAAAAAACAGGAACATGGACAACCACCAATTATTGAGATTCCTTCCTGCTCAAAATCCATTAAATACAAGGTATTCAAACTTTCAGTCTCAGAGACGCACAAAGTAAGTCCAATGGACTGTAATTCTGTGTTCATTCATTGACAGGAGTGCCGTCACTTTTTGAAATCAAACAAATCTCAACACATATTAGATT